GGTGGAAAGGGTTGGACGGCTCCTCCCCCATCTTGGGGGGACTCCAGTGCACCCAGCCCATCCTCCAGTACCAGCTGGAAAAAAACTGCAGACTGAACTCCCTCTGCTCCTTTTCTCCCCTCCCATTCTGAAAACTTTACGGGGGCTGAGAGGCAGTACAGACACAAGTTACTGAAGCCACTCCATTTTGGAGCATCTTCATTTGAACCCTCATGCAATGGGGAAGGAAGCAGGGGCAGAGGCACGCTCAGTGACTTTCCTGCTGTACTTCTGGATTTGGTGCACCTAGTGAGGAGCATCTCAGAAAAGTCACTCCTATTGGGGTTACAGAGCTGGTTATATACATAGCTTTACCTCTCCCCTTTTGATTTTCCAGAGGTGAATAATTTGGACTGTTGCCAATTAAATTCTTCCCATGCATAAAGACAACAGGAATGGCCTGGTGCTGGATTGATTCTTTTTCAAGAGCTATCATTTTTCACTCAGGAAGATCATTTTGCTCATAGGAGTTAGAAGGTTGCATGCTCCACAGATTCTGTAGGCCAAGGGTATTTTATACACCAGAGGCTTCTTGCTTCCTTTCATTCCTGCTCCTAACAAACTCCGTGTACCACCCTCCACTCATTATTTCAGGGACTCCCTGCAAGCCGCCTCTCCAATACACCTGTGTTTCTGCATGCCCCTTCAAACCTGCTTTCCTCCCCCCGCCCCTTAGTAAGGCCCACCAGTCCCTGCTTGCTAAGCCAGGTGGGTCTTAGGGGCTTTCCAAGCCTTCCTCATTCCCTCCCTTCCTTCCTTTAACCTCCACCCCTATTCTTATTCTCTTCCTCTGCTTCTGGGAGAAAGGTCTCTCAGGGTCTCAATTTTAAACTATATCAGAAAGATGAATAGAACTAAAAGGAAAGGCTCTTTTTGGAGTGGTGGGAGTTAATTTCCACCATTAAGCTGTTATGTGATCAAGAAAGAGTTACAGAGATAGCTAAAATTGAAATTCTGCTAACCAGATGTTAAGGCCTTCAAATGTTTCCCCTCTTTCATACCACCTTCCAAATCCCGCCCCCCCCCCCCGTAATTAATAGGATGCTGTCCATTGATGCCAAGAACATTTTCTGAAATTGTGGAATGAATCAAATGTGGCATTCAAAAAGCTAGCACATTCCAGGCAGTCAGAGAAATGTCATCTGACCTTGCTTTGCTAGGCCAATTAGCAACCAAAACCCTTTTTCATTTGCCTCAAATTCATCTGAAGGCCTGTAGTATGAAAAATGAAATAAAAACCTCTGTAAGATTTTATGAAGTTTCCGGCACATCTGAGCTTCAGCAAGAAAAGGTATTTAATCTCCAAGCCCCAAACTAAACCAGAGCACATAGGGAAATGCAAGATTTTAAAGAGTTTTGAAGTTTAGAACTTCCTTCACTGAGCCAGCAAAGAAGTGTAGATTAGGTTCAAGACTGGATAAAACTTCAAGCTAATTCTTATTCACATGATACAAAGTGCTATTTTGGTACAGTCTAACTAATCCATCTACTTTCTAGCAGCATACATGATCCTTTTTAGCTCTGAAAAAAATCAAAATTAGCATGGCACCATGAAGCAAAGTCACATTACTCACCAGGCCATTACAAGTGCTGATTACTGCAGTCCCGTGCCCATCATCTGGATGCAGTACCGTGCCAGTGAAGTGACATGACGTTCCTGAGCGAGGCACAACTTTTGCACCGGTGTAGTTCCCGTATCTCCTTTCCAGTATATAGTTATTGGAAAGAAATTCTTCATTAACAGTCAAGTTAAAAAACAGGTTCTTCTCCTTGTGGCTAATTTTATAATATACAAAGTTTTCCTTTTGACTGAGGTCCCTTTTTCTCCTGGCATTTGAGGTATGATGCTGCAAACTGTAGGAGAGAAAACACCCACTTGCATCTACTTTTGTAGGTCCAACCACATGGTATTCTTGCAGCGCCTTGATAAAGTGCTCTAGAAAAAATGCAGAAAGGACATTTTAGCTTGTGTCACTACAGGACTCACATGTTTTAAATAGGGAACTCTTTGGGGGAGGGGTGTGATTCATCACCCCATTTCACTGGCATAGAGTGGTGCTGTGCACCACTATGGATTACCAGCCTGAGCACTTTAACAGCTTCTTTAGGCATTTTTAGTCTCCCATTTTAATGCTTACTCTGAGGCTAGGGACAGACATTACATGTAAACCAGTTTAAGTGATCAGAAACTGGTTTAAACCTGTAACAGAATAGATGTTCAGTGCACATAAGCCAATTTGAAAATGGCTGAAACCAGTTGGAACTAAACCTGGTTGAATGTAGTATCAGACTTAACTGATTTGGCTCAACCCAGTTTATGCAAAGTCTGTCCCAGACCCCTTGCTCGTTTAAAATAAACCAGACTCCCCCAGCATCCTGGCATGCTCTCTGCTCCACAGCAGGGCTGGCCCCTCCCCTCTGCTCCCTGGCCAGAGCTCCAGCAGAGATTTCAGACACAGCAGGGTCTGCCTGGCTTCCCCCTGCCCTATCCCACCCCTTTTTCCCCCCCACTCTGCTTGCAGGATAAGCAGGAATCTCCCCCTCCCTCCCACCTACCACAGCATGGACCCTAACCCCACAGACCCCAGGCATGTGGTATGCTAGCTAATACTGAGAGGTGTCTGTGTGTGTGTGTTTCCAATTTCACTGGGACAGGCAAACAGAACACTAACCACTTAGAGCTTTTTTGGAGCTCATCACCAGGTCACCGGATAAATTGTTTAAGAAGAGTTGAATTAATAGAGAGGCTATTGTTTTGCTGATGAGGTGATAAACACTTATCAGCTCCCTGCTGGCTTGCTCACCTGTCAGTTTGCTGCAGACAGTATAAAGAAGCAGGTAGGGCGATTGAAAAGCTCTGTATCATCAACCAATGCATGTACTACACACACCTCCTTGCCTCAGAATGCTAGCAGGGGGCTGGCAACACTTCCACCCCTTGAACAGCCAGTGGGAAAAAGCCTGGGATGGTTCAGACAGACCTGCCTGGCCATACCCTGCCTCAGCTCAGATCTGTAGAAGGGAAGGGAGGGCTGCTCTAGCACCCTCTGGCTTCTAGCCTGAGCCACTGCAGGCATGTGCCTGAATTTCTTCAGTCCAGAGAAAATATCTGTTTAGTTATAAACTGGTTCAGCCTAGCCAGGTTAGACTAACCTGCAAAGATTGAATTAATTCAGGCTCAGGCATTTTTAATGTCTGCCCCTAGCCTGAAAGTTTAAAAGATCTTTAAGTAGTCCTGTCATATTTCAGTAAGAACAGTGAATCAATCTCTCTCAGGCTTGTATGCTTTCATTCATAACACTGTGGCTTTAACTTAAGGGAGCACTGAATGCATACTGAGCTGGAGAAGGGAAGGGGCCAGCCAGCCTGCAGGCTTTATTGAGGGTGATCCTCAAGGGTATCATTTGGTGTAGACAAGAGGGAATTATTATATTCCTTATTATAACTGCTCTAAATTCAGAAACATGCCCTTTGGAGGGAAGGGGAGGTTGAACAGGTTTTGGGGATAGCCACCACCCCCTGAGAGAAAAAGGTACAGGCTTAGGAGGGGTGGAAGAGGGGACTTCCTGGGTAAAGGGAAGAGGAGAGGGGAGGTGGGAGGAGACAGGAAGGAGAATGGGAGGAAAATCTTTTTAATGGAGGAAATGAATTGGGGTTGGGATGGATGGCTCTGTGTGATTGTAGTGGGGTAGCACTCTCCTAGGTGAGAAGCCAAGGAGCTGGAGTGGGATGTTTTGAATTGTGGGGTGTCATGGTAGGAGTTTGTTTTCTTATACTATCATACTATAATATTTTATTCTGGTTTTATAAGCTATCTAATAAATAAATGCAAACATACATAAAGCAGATTTTTAGAATTCAGAAGACACCAAGCACTGGATGGATAAAAAAAAACAGGCTAATGGGGCACACCCAGAGAGTAGTGGTGGATGGGTTGTAGTCAAACTGGCAAGATGTGAGCAGTGGGGTACTCCAGGGTTTGGTCCTCGGGCCCGCACTGTTTAACATCTTCATCAGTGACTTGGACATGAGGGTGGAAAGCACGCTGTCCAAGTTTGCTGATGACACTAAGATGTGGGGCGAGGTGGACATACTTGAAAGGAGAGAGAGGCTGCAAATAGATTTAGACAGACTACAAAAGTGGGCTGACTAGAATAGGATGAGGTTCAATGTAGATAAGTGCAGGGTGCTGCATCTTGGGAGAAGGACTCCACAGCATACATACAGGCTGGGGAGTTCCCCTCTTGAAAGCACAGAGGCGGAACAGGATCTTGGAGTCATTATTGACTCCAAGATGAACATGAGCCACCAATGCCAGACCACAGCCAGCAAGGCCAGCCATACCT